TGCCTCCAATGCGGGGGAAAGCATTCAGACCCCAGCAGCATAATGCATACACACCTCATCAGTGAAATCTGAGGGAGAAACAGAGGTGTTGGGTTTTGCATGGATGTCTTTTGTGTTTCTTCCTGATATGTTCTTGGTGCAAAAGGCAGATTGCCAGCCACACCTCTTTGCAGTGATGGAAGGGGGTAATTGTTCTTGTTCCCATCTAGTCTTCCAGTCTAGATTATTTATGTATTGTTTTCTTATAGCTACTTCAGAGTTAATGTGCTTAAAAATCTCATAGCAGACTTTTGTTTCTCTGCATGTGAAAGCTGGGCTTGTACTTACAAAACTTGAGCTAATAAAGTTGTGTTGCAGTCTCCTACGTTGCTAAATATGGATTTTAAGAAACCACCCAAACTTTTTAAACAAGCGTTTTGCTATTTCTACTGATTAGTCACCAACCTTTTGCTTGTCACGTCAAACTTATTTACAATGCATGTTTTCCATGGTGACAGTGGGGGAATGACAGGTGGCAATACCTATATTTAGATTGAGTAACATTTTCCATTTATAAAGGGCTCCTGATAACTTTTTTGAATATTGTTATAGCCATTGTTTTCAGCAGGCCTTTGAAATTTACCACAGAGAAATCATTGGTGCTGAAAAATACCTTCTGCTTTGTTTCCTGAAATTCCATTTAGGATTAAGTTTCTGGTGTAGTCAGCAAAACTCTGGTGCAGATGCATCATAATGTTCATATTTTAGTTAAGATTGGATCCCTAGCTACCAGCAGTGCTTGGAACCCCAGGAGCAGTTGTCAGAGCAGCTGCATTAGGTATAGAAAGGAACATTTAGTTTGGGCTCAGCCAGTGGGTTCCTGTGATCCATGTTTCAGGCATGTCTCCTTTCCTGCCCCTTTGCAAGGAAGAAGGGGGGGGGGGCAGGAGGAACTGCTCACAGAAGCCATCTGAATCCAGCACATGGACTCATCACTCCCACTTCTGTCAGTACATCAACAGGGGTCCCCCATATCTTGATGAAAAAGAGATCAAGCCCACCAGGTGGCCCTACCAGCCCATCATTTCCCCCTTCCACCTTCAGTGTAAGAAATGTCTCTTCTTGACAACCACCAGCTAATGATATAGCTCAAGTGGTAGCAGTCTGTTACTGCAACACTGGTGTGTTAAAGCCTACTGAAGCCAATGGAAGCAACCCAGTGGACATTAGAGGACCCTAAACCTGGTCCCTAGCAGTCAAACACTGCTAATATGTGATGGCAGTGGCTATTAGAGGGCTATTTGAGTTGCATATAAGGGAATTACTCTTATCTTTTTCTTTAAAAAGAGAAATAATTTTAGAAAGTTGTATACAAAAACTAGATTAAAAGTAGTTAGCCAAGTATTTGAAAGATAGGAAATATTAGAATTGATTACAGTAATGTCAAGAACAGGTCCCTGTTATGATGGGTACTGTGCAGACACAGAGTACTAAAACCTACCTGCCTTTTGGGTGCTTTATGTCATACTTTTTAATGTCAAGACATGGTATTTTTTTCAACAGGACCCTGCATCCTTAAATACACAAGATGGACAGTGATCAGGAAATAATTAAGTTATTTAGTTATTTTCCTGCCTTATTTTCTGCAAGCCATCCTTTCCTGATTATATAGTCAACTTATTCCTCATGGTGGCTTCTATAGTGCTTGCTGCTGTAGTATCCAAGTGCCTTACAAATATATTAATGCATTGTATTGCCATGTACATTACCCATGAGAGAAGTATTTATTTCAGTTACTCCAGCTATAAGATAGTGATGAAAAGACTTGTTTGAGGTCACATGCTGAATTAGTAGCAGAAGCAGAGCTACAACTTGTTCCTCTGACTCCCAGTCATGGGCACATGGTGCTTTTACTGTCAAAAGCACTGAACATCTACAGATATCTTTGACTTCAGTTACAAGTTGCGAGTGCTCACTATTTCTGTACATCACACCCCAAATGTTTAACATCCACAGAAATAACAGTTAGTGGCTATCTAATAAAATTTTGATTTTAGTGAGGTGAAGGAAAAATACTTGAGATTGTTTCCCTTGCTAATTTTTAGGGTAGCTAAAGGAGATGGAAGTTATCAACTCTTTTGGCTGAAAAAGTGGGTGAGTAGGTGTTAGAGCTATTATTGCAATTGATTATCATGTTGCATGAGGCAATATGTCAGCTTCTCTTAGCCTGATTACTTGCCCCTTAATCAAGATGCTGTCCCCTGAAGCTGACAGCTTGTGAGCTACTGCTGTATTAATACAGTTGTATCATATAGGTCTGGTTTGGGCAATACTACAGGAGTTTCAACTGTAAAAGTGGGTAAGAAATTGTGCTTTAAAAAAAAAGTGCTTAACAGCTACAACTAAAAGTACTAACTTACTTTTTAATTTATTGAGGTCTGTTGTGCTAAGGGATATCAGATCAGTATATGAGTAGTAAGTACTGCAGAGCTCTATGCTATTGTTGCCTGAACTTTCGTAGTAGGCTAGTTGTATGCGATTAGATTGTGTATTATTACTCATGTTTTACAAACTGATTAGGTCCTGCAATAAAGACTGGAAATCCCACAGTAATTCCTCAAGAACAGGCCTGTTTAGTTGCCAGTTGCTGTAAGTTATGCTTCTGTATGCTATATGTTATTCTTCCTGTACTCCTTAAGGCTGAATAGACTTTTAAAAAGCTCTTGTAGCTTTTTAAAATTATACAGTCTTTTTCTTCATAGTGAAACTCTTTATTTTTAATAGATTTGTATCAGAAAAAAAAGGAAAAACTCTGCAATTTGAGTCTGGTTTGTCATTACATTGCCAGAAAATGGAAATCCATTTATTTTAGTAACTGTTGTTTGCCTAAAAGCTTATTAAAATAAACAAGAGTTTAATTTAAGGATTGGTGCTTGTAGTAAAGATTGGTAAAAATCAGTCATTTATACATCATGAGAGAAGAACACCTGCTTATGAGTCTACTGTTTCTTCTTTCTGTTACTAGATTACAGCACTAATTTGTCACCATGGTTTTTTAACAACTTCTGCAAGACTCATCCTGGGTTGCTAATGATATGCCTAAAAAGTTAGTGCTCATAATGAATAAATGACTGTATTACAATTAGCATAGTATATATGACATTTAAAAAATACAGAGGCTGAGAAAGCAAGATGAAATGGTCAAAAGCAGTTCTGTTAGACAATGCATTGACCAGATATAGGGAAGAACAACAAAACCCTCATGCTGTTTATCTAAGCAGCTAACTTCTAGAATTAAGGAATGCATACAAGGCTCTTCATTTACACTTCTTGCATGACAATAAATGACCACCTCCTTGTATGTTTAAAAGGTCCAGCCTCAGTTATACTTCAGTGTGTATTCATTTTTCTTTACCATGTATTTCATGCACGTCCTGCTTTAATATGCTGTTCTCTGCTTGTATCAATTAGTAATTGGAGTTCTTAATTAAACTTTGCTAGCACTGTTGACAAACATTTTAATGGGCTTAGTTATAGCATTGTAGTTTAAAGCAGCACCAGTTTTCTTTGTTATGTTTTACTTTTCTTTAAAGTTAATTATATGTTAGTCTGTACTTCTAAACTTGCGTTAAATTGTCAAGTTAGTGCAGTTAACACATCTGTGTTAGCATAGTATTCAGAATGGTAGCAAATGTCATATTTTAGCACTACTGGCATTTGTATGGATGACTGATAAAACTTTGGGGCAAAGAAATGGTGTTGTTACATATTACTCATTGCTATTCTTTCCCCCTCCCTCCCTCCCCCTCCAAAAAAAAAAATCCTTAGCTAAAGTTATCACAGTAAGTATAACTACAAAACTTGCCTAAAGACAGTGACAATAAAAAGGAATCAAATAAGAATTCATATGGAATGAAAATAACCAGGAATGAGAATTCAGAGTAGTTTACAGTGTAGTGCTTAATTTGGTGAACAGCAAACAGTTTTATTCAAACCAAAAACTGTGTAGCTCATAATACTGGCCTACAGCTGTATTATAGCATCCTGTAAAGGCTAAAGCTTAATTGGGGAGCAAGAGGTGAAGAGGAAAGGAAGTACCTTGGGGACTGTGCAATTATAGCAAAGCCACAGGGCACAGGGTACCAGGATTAGCTTAGGAATCTTTTTAAATTATTGGCTTTTTTTCTTAGCAAAAATAAGGCTAGCCGATGGCTTACCAAAAGCATGTTTAAATGCTAACTTGAAGATATACAGGCAGGTTCACTGAATATTATAATTAGTTCCATCTATTGGAATGTATTCCTAGTTTAAATTCCCTTGCTGAGGTACCAAGTTCTACAAAATACCTAGCTTCCTTCAGGCTTCACTGCCTGATGTCTCTAGTGCAGTCATAGTATAAAGGTTTATGCTCTGTCCATAGATAACACATGGTAAAATGCTCTGCTTCAGATTCATAGTTTTCAAAAATACTCTTCATGATTTTTTATGGATACTGCTTGGGTGAATTTACTTTAGCCAAAAGCAACAATTTTTTCCAAAAATAGGTGGTAATGGATTTCATAAAAGGAAAATAAACTTGTTTTATCTTACGAATTATATCCGTGGTATATGAATAAATTAATAGACAAGTACAAACTAGTAATTCCATTTGAAATGGTTGGTTCAACTTTGTGTCAAACTAGGATTGGAGTCTAATATCAATAGTATATTTTTTTCTTTAGAGGGAATGATTTACATTTGAATACTCTTGTTTTAGAACGCAATTTGCTTTGCTAACTGTTTAAAGATACCCTTTAAAGAAGGCCACAAGCTATGCTTCTAGTTTCTTTCTTTTTTTGTAGGATAGTTTACAGACTTTCTGAATTGAGGAAGTCTTGGAAAATACTAACACATACATAAAAATTCTGTTTATTGCACTTTTTAAGTAGCAAATTAATTATTACAAAATACTGTTTTTTAAAGGGGAAACAAATACAACAAGTTAGGTGGAATATATTTTGTTTGTCTCTTTTGTCTTCAAGGTTTGGCTTGAGCAACAAGTTTGACACAGAATTTCCTTCTGTTCTGACAGGGAAGGTAAGTCTGAGTTTGCACTAAAATTTTAAATTTGAGCGGCGTACTTTATTCAATAGTTTGGGCGTTATCCATGTCTAGAAGCATGTTTTTGGGTTCAGATAAAATCAGTTTCAAGTAAATTGTGACAGAAGGTGATTGACAACTGTCTATTGCTATGTCCTGTATGAAATGAGTTGGTGTTTGCCAACCAGTTCCTACTGTACATGTCTGCATCAGAAAAACTGCTTGCTGCAGTTTGTGTCATTGACAGTCTTGGCACAGAAAGCCCCAGGACTAGCCCAAGGTACATAAGCAGTCCACATCAAACTAGGACTGGCCCCAGGCATCTGGAATCCAGAAAACTGCCTGTTGTATAAATTAAATAACTCACGTTACCGGGGCTTTCTGCCAAGCATCACCCAATTCATTTTTGGACAGTTTGTGAAAAGAAAAGTCTGTTTCTTAAATATAGTGAGAAGGAGTGGAAAACAAGCCATCTTGCAGCTTTTTATGTAAGCCTGAAAACGGAAGTGCTTTGAATTATTTTCTAAACACTGTATAGCGCCAGTTATTTAGTTATTGTTTGTTAGTGATGTTCTTTCACAGAAAGCAAATCAGAAAGAGGTTACTGCTGTGTTGGAGGAAATTTCCTCACTTTTCCTAGCATACTGTCCCTAAGATTAGTTAGAACCTCTTTTTCAAATGATAGCCATCTGTTAATGAAATGTGGAGGTAGCTTGCTTTATTCTTCCTTTAAATGCTTTTATTTGTGTGTTCCTCTGCTTCGGACTTATGATTCTTTACTCCAGCTTTCTGGATTATTCTCCCTTTTGTTCCTCCTTATTGTTGAAATGTTTCACTTTCCCAGTTTTCACCCCATATCATTCCTCATCTCTCTTTTCCAAAACTGATGCAGAGGAAAAATTTCAGGATTTGTTATTTTCCGTAATCACATAGCATGCAGTTAAGGCTTCACACTGCCTCTGCAGTCTCTTGCAGTCACTGTTGAGTCATATTAACGTAGTACTGAAATGCATCTAGATGGCATCCTCTGTCTGGTTCTGACAGATCCATCTGTTTTTTCCCCTTGGTATTTTTTTTCCCCTTAACCACAGCAATTACAATACTTGAGCTAAAATCTGTCCAACGTTGTTTGGCAATCTAATTAAAATGATAAAGAAACAGATTACACCCTCCCTGCTCCCCCCACCAATGTGTTAAAAGGCAACCTGGTAATTCTGGGCCTGATCCAAGATCCCACAAAGGCAAAGGAAAGGATATTATTGTCTTTATTGGGCTTTGAATTAGAACCTATAGCTGGACTTCTGTCACTTTTTTTGTCAAGGGTTCTCTTCCATCTTGAGGCAAATGTTCAGGTTCAGTTCTTTGAGGTAAAGCCACAAATTAAACATGATTTTAAAAAGAATGTGAACGTTCAATGGATGTTTCAAAGAAGTATAATTTTCTATAAATGAAGCTACAGCTGTACAAGGTATCTCCTAAGTAATAAATATGAAGGTATTAAAGCAGAATTCAATAACTTTAAATTTTGAATTAAAAAAAAACCTTATAGAAACCTTAATTTCTCTTACTTTGCCCCTCAGTGAGGTTTCCAGCACTATTTGGCCAGTGAGCATTTGATTTTTTTCCTATGGGTTTTCATCTTCACTCAGAGATCTTGCTATAGGATTTTGTGGCTAAATTCTAAATATGGTACTTTGTAGATTTGCTTGGTTTGATTTTCAGTACTTTGTTTAAACATTTTTTAAGTAATCTTGTCAAAATTCTATCTAACTCCTAGGTCTGTAGGTTTAGGGAACAGGAGGTTTCTTGATTATCAAGAAGACTAAACCAAGCTAGCAAAAGTACCATTCATGATATATGGCCCAATGGCATGCACAGCTCCAGGTGACAAGAAAATGACAGAGCCAGTGAACCTTAAGGAAGAAAGTGGAGCTTCCTGCCCTGATCTTAAAACAATACGGAGATTAGTGTGTAAGGCAGGGAAGTGTAAGTCATAAAATGTACCCTTGGTATTGTGATCCAACAGGACATGTGATGGATAGAGTTTGTGATCATGATGATTGAAGGAGGCAGATCAGGCCTGCTGGGCTTTGCTTGCTCTCTTCCTCTGTTTGCAGATTCTCTTGCATCCTGTTGTAAAGTGTTATGACACCCTCCTCCTTTTATGTTTTTTTAAGGCCTAAAAGGAACTAATGTCTTTTTACAACGTGTACTGCACGGCCAGAAGCTGTGTACTTATCTTTCTTTTCAAGACGCAAACAAACTCTTCAAGTAACTTTCCAAATATCTCAGACCCAGAGTTTCTTAATTAAGTTTTGTCTGCAGGCGAGAGCTGGTGAATTCTGTATTGGGAATTAACTAGAATCTTTCAGATTAATGTTTCAAAGCTGCAGGTTTAGATGGGAAAAAGATTTAAGACTGTGGAAATAACTTGAGGAAGATCCACTAAGAAGTGTATGTTCTGAAGGCCATCTTACCAATAATTTGGCACTAGATTGTTTATCTTGCTGAAATATGGCCGTTATTGATTTCTTGATGTAAAAAATGCCAAGTCTTGGTAGGGTTCTAAAAGGATCTCAGATATGTAGTGGCTTTTAACAAATTCCTCTGTCAGCTCAAAATAGCCTGGTGTGAGTACTCAGGATAAAATTGGACTTTAAATTCATGCCCTTCTTGTTAACAAGTATTGTGTTCTTAATTGAAGAATTTGTGACTCTGTTGGCTGAGCTGTTGTTAAGGTATAAACAGGACTTTCTAATAAAGATGAGCTAATGCTCATCAAGACTTTAAGTGTTTTGATTGGGGGAGGGGAGGGGAAAGTATCACAGATGTACAGGAATATTGTGTCTTTTCTTGGTTTTCCAAACTGGTGGTTGTCATTGTACGGTCATTTTAACACAACAAATTGAAACTGAAGTATGTTCCACAACATTTAATTTTGGTGTATTAGAAGCAAGCAACAGTTAGTTTCAGTTCCATAGTACAAGAGTGAACTGCTAGAAGACTAGCTCATGTATTTTCTGTTAGGGCATTATTTGGTGTCCTTTCTC